CTATGCATATGTTAATGCAGAACAAGCTACTTAACACTAAACCTACCAGAGCAGTCAAATGACCGCTTTTGAGACTTTAATCAAAATTGTTAAATTCCAGGTTTTTATTTTTCTTGAACTTACTGCACGACTATGCTAAATTCTGTATTAATTACAATCAACTGGAAAAGACTATAATGTTTATTTCAAAAGCGGTCATTTGACAGCCATCGGTAAAAATAGGTATATATAATATGTCGGTAGGTTTAGTGTTAATGGCCTTGCCATCTATTAATTTTATGTTTAAGATGCATTACCGTTGCTGATACTTCTACTTGAAAAATGTATGGATTTCCAGAGAAATTGCAGAATATCAATAGAATATCTACAAGTGGGAACTTTGGATATCTTATGGTCATCAATTTAGATACTCAGGATATCTTCTGGATATACTGTGGATATCGACAGCCAAATTAGGAATCCTATGGATATCAAATACTGTGTTGGTATTTAACTTATGTTTTATTACATACTATTTAATTGTTACTTTATACATCATCATACTTTGATACCCATTTTAAATTTATTATAATAAAAAAAAATTTGTTATTGATAAATACAACTTTAATTTCGAATTTTGAATGTTTCTGATGATTTAAGAAATGTCATTATTCTCGTTGTAGATTAAACTGTGTTACATACTCAAATTTTAAAACATTGTAGATATTAATAAAGAGTTTTACCGCATAAGGAAAGTAATAGAATCCCGGCGAGGAAGAACCACCCCATAACGTGACATCAACAGCTCGTTTCACCTCAAACCTTATCACACCATGTGATCATCCTCTTACAAATATTCATTACTCCTACTGTAGTTTTTTTTCCATTATAGCGAAATCCTGCAACACAAAATTTAATTGTGATGTTTATTTTACCAAAGGTGAAAAGTTGGGTTATACAACACCAGCTTATCAGAAGTAGTGCTTGTTCATGTCACAATTTAATTAAAATCGCCAAAGTATCGCACTTCTTTGGAACAGATAGCTGTAGTATGAGTTGGGGAGTTCTGGCTCAAGATTCCTGTAACCGACATTTACCGACATTCTGGAACCTTCGAAAGTAGATATACGTGCTAAATTAGCGTCGTAAGCCCTATGATTTTCAGGAGTTACGACATTAAACCGTGGATTCCGAGAATTGTCGCTCGATTCCAGGAATTTGACGTTTGATTCCAAGAACTTGATGTTCGATTCTGAGAATCTTGAAAGATTAAAAACCCTCTACAAACTTCTGGAACATTCTAGAACCTTCGACTGTTTGCGTCCGTGCTAAATCGTGAAGGATCGCTCCTAGAGCCGGCGGTCCTCTCGCGCGACGTTTTGAGGCAGCCCCTTGCCCTTCACCCCGGAGAAGCTTCGCGAACATTTTAGAAGCTTAGATGAACCCCCTCCCATTCTCATACAAGTTCGTACACGTTTTGGACTGCAGCTATCAGCCGGTTTGCAAATCAAGAGACTCGGTCGAGTCTCGCGCCAAGTACAGGCAACCCGCCGTACGGGGATCTTTACTCGAAGCATCTCTTGTACCTGTGTTTCGACTCAAATATCTTATGAACGGCTGTATGTAAGAAAAATTTATTGATACATTCACTCTAGGAATAAAGGGTTCTGAAATGATTGCCACCAAATTCAATACGATTAGTGTGCAGGATCAGGACGTATTCACACGGCGAGCAAAATGATTTTATTTCAGGTCCGTCGTCGTCGTCGTCGTCTTCGCACATCCATCGACTTTTTTACACGACAAATGGCACTGAATGCTTTGCCTTCTTTAGTTATTTGTACTTTGTATGGTGTTAGTAATTTACGAATACACAACACAATCAAACACACTTTATACGTGAAGCTACCGTTCATACCGAATTTCCAGTTAGTATAAGGGTGCTTTCACAACAGTATAGAATTATTAAGTTTTTAATAGCATTCATGTGAGGCGCGCGTGTATCGGTGTACGTATTTCTGTGCTTCGATATAGTTTCTCGTATTTTAGATATTTTTCTGATTAGCGACATCATAATAAATTTACATTTTATATTTGTGACAATATAGAGTTCAGTGCTTAGAGCTTCTATGTCCCGTTGAGCAACAAAAACTTGTGATATCCCCCAAAAACACACTTACATGTAAAAAACTACACCAAGTACAGGAGTGGTGTGTATTCCTCTAATAAAAAGTATTGATATCAGATTATTGACACCAAGTACATAAGTCACTACATGTTTGCCTATTATATGATCTAGCACTGGGCCATGATTTTAATTCTATTTTCAAAATTTCCTATAACGTTTTCACTACTCTTTTACATTACTACAGCTTCTCGTAGTTAATTATGATTTAATGATTATTTAGTAATTAATCAAACTTTAGCCGATCCCTTATCGAGTACTACTTAGCGGGTCCGTGCATTTCTGCATATAAATTTGCGTTCATTATGCCAGTCATTAAACTCAAAACCAATGTCAACTTTCTATATAGAGCTTATTAACAATAACTCGTCAATAATAATCATGGTAAAAGCTTAATAACAAACATATGTATAGTTTTAGGATACTATTAGTACGTTCAAAGTAAGTACGTTAGAATTCCTGGCACGGACCCGCCAAGTAGTACTCGATAAGGAATCAGCTAAAGTTTTATTAATTATTAAATAACCATTAAATCATAATCAACTACGGGAAGCAGTAGTAATGTAACAGAATAGTGAAAACGTTCTAGGAAATTTTGAAAATACAACTAAAATGATGGGCCAGTGCTAGATCATATAATAGGCAGACATGTAGTGACTTATGTACTTGGCCTCAATAATAAGATATCAATACTTTTTATTAGAGGAATTCACAGCACTCCTGTACTTGGCGTAGTTTCTTACACGTAAGTGTTTTTTGGGGGATCGAGGATATAGCCTTCCGGAATGCAGGAAGATTCCAGAACTTCCCTCCCTAACCTTGAACCTTATCGCGCAGACTATTGCGTAGCATCGGTGAATTAAAGTGAGATGATGAACGGCATCCCCTTTGCGCAGTGCCGAAAAGCGGTTTCAGGAATTTTGCGTCGAGATTGATTCAAGACGGTAGCCTCCTTATCCCATGGAGGAACTTTGCGAATCCTCCAATCCCCAGCCTCGTGCAGATTCGTGTAAGTCCAAATGGCTCTCGCACTTTTCTGAAATCGCAGTGGCAGGCTCAAAGTCACCTGATTGTTACGGCAGCCAAATGACGAGGAAAAGAAACGTGCACGAGGGCAAGAACGTCAACGAAAACAGCAGTGGTGTCTGAAACAAAAGATATAATTTTTGGAGAGATTAGACGAGTTGACGGAAAAATATAAAGAATTACAGTATAAATTTAAAAAATATATTGGCGATTATGTGACTGGTAAACACGTCATTAGTACGAGCCAGATATGCAATAGCATTACTCGTCCTGGCGATGATAATTCGAGTCAAGCTTTCATGCAATGCCACGAAAACAGTGCACGCTTGTGGGTTAATATATTGTAACGTATATTATTTCCAACTGTCAACACTGGTGAAGTACCAGTTCCCTCGAATGACGATTTTGGCCACTTAGCTCTTAGAGTGAACCAGGGTTCGGAACGGTAAAGGGATAGTTGTGTTACAGCAATAATAAAACGTTCTTTTCAGGTAAACTTTTCTTCGTTTATTATACTTTGCGTCTCTATACGGTATCATCGATCGGTTCTATTACAATCGGTAAATTCAAAAGGTCGGAGGAATTGACTTAAGGATGTGGAAGCCAACACTTCCAGCTACGGAGGATGCGTGATTTGAGATTGCGGAAGCCAACACACTTCCTGCTACGGATGATGCGAGAGCGATCACTCTCTGCTAATTTGTCCAGGGTAGCTAAACGCTGCGCTACTGGACTCGGTACACGGGCTAAGTAGCGGAATGCTACTATGTCCAGGGTAGCTAAACGCTGCGCGCTACTAGACTATGCTGAAAATGAAACTAGAACCACAGAATCCTCAACGAACGGTTTGATTCCAAAAAAATTGTTCTCTCTCGGATGGGAGAAGCTGGATATTAGATGCAGGATTCCGGATTCAGGATACAAGATGCAGGATACAAAATTATACGTTGATGGCGAAGAAGAAGAAGAAGACCCAATCCGCACAATCGACGGATTAATTATTTACCCGGTCCTACGTTTTTACATGCGAGTTGCCTTGGCCACCTAGTGGCGCGGCAGCGAACTAGTGCTCGCTCGGATATCCCTTGTCTGGTTAGGGACTCTTGTCACAATATATTGTAATAAAAATGTTACTAACGACTCCTCCCCGTCACCTGGCTCGAGGGCACCGTTGGCGTCGAATATCATTCCTATTGCATGTATTATTGAATATTGTTAACTGCGTATATTTAGTGTTTTAAGCCTATTGTATTTAGTTTTAAGATCCCTTTTCTCCACCCTTCGCTCCCCGTTTCCCTTTCCCCGTACTCGAGGACCGTCATCGAGGATAACCAACGCAGATTTTCTTCGAAGATCCATCTCCAAGGGAAGCATCGTGAGAGTGGCTACATTGTCAAGGCAGCGGAAGGCACGGATGGCATAGGCAGCGAACAGCTGATCCAACCACGTGAGGGTGACGCCCGTCCAGCCCGCCACCATCACCACGCGTATGCAGACCCGGTGTAGTCCCGCCACACGGGTATTTAAGAGGCTCATGTGACAGCGTTGGAGCCATCTCCCTCCAACTCCACGGACGTTTAGTTTAGTATTGCGTGTTTGACATATTTGCGGATTCAGTTTCTTTTCTTTTCTTTTCCGTAATATCTAGTTTATTTTCTTTTCTGCTTATTCTGTTCTATCAACCTTTTCTGTTAATTATATTTTGTTCCTATTTTACCCCGTATTTATTTATTTTTCTTCGAGACCCCTCCCCGTGTTTTCGATAACTAGTTCCCGGAGACCCTTGGTGGAATTAACCACCCAATACATCAAAATATTTAATGAAGAATGCTCTAAGAAATGTCAAGCGGTTACATTAGCAATGAGGATAATAATGCTCGTTTGCTTAGAAATGGACCCAGTAAATCCTTGGGTTGACGATATCTTAATTGAAATCTATTTGTATCTCATGCCTTTCTTTGCCAGTCTCCGCATCTTGCCATTCTATACGCATATTCCAAATAAATCATACAATGAATTGTGTGTGAATCGGATGAGAAGTGTACCTGTTTCTTGTGTAATGTTTCAAATGACTTGATATGTTCCATTTATTTGAGATTAGTATTAAAGTCAGACTATCCATGTCTCTTCCGGAAAAAAATCTATAACACAATCGTTTGGGGCTTCGGAGAGACTGCACTCTCTCGTCTTTGACTCGTTCATACATTATATTTCTTATTATATGTTAAATTTGTTGGGTTTTGTGACGTGGTGGATTTCACCCGTCTTGTCCTCGGCGGAAAGTCACGCCGAAACGCGATACGAGCCTAAAGCCATAACAAAGTCCAGGCAGGATCCACCGACCGCAAGGGCCCAATTATAATAACGACAGATTATTTCATTATTTTCTTTTGTTTTGCGTGTACTCTGCCGGAGTTCGAATAGATGCTCGCTCGCCGTGCCCGTGAAGACGCAGAGAAAGAGAGAGGGAGAGCCAGCTGGAGGCCAAGGAGGAAGGGAGCTGCGACACGCGAGGGTGGACACTCGCGCTATCTGCGCAGAGCAGCTCTACTGACCCAGGAGGCGAGGGCAACGCGGGACAGCTTGACGTCACGCGGCCGCAACGCGCTCTACTCAGCTGATACTCAACCACGACTGGAAGCGGTGCACACAGCGCCACACGAATGAGCACCAATACCCACTCCTATGGCATAGCGCCCGTCGTCAGTTGCGCATAATTATATCCCCCAAAAAACACTTACGTGTAAAAAACTACGCCAAGTACAG